AGAGAGAGAGAGAGAGAGAGAGAGAGAGAGAGAGAGAGAGAGAGAGAGAGAGAGAGAGAGAGCAGTTCTAATCCAACCACCCTTAACCCACGAAACCTTTCAACTTCTGCTGTCTAAGACAGAAAATTCTATCATTGTGGGCAAAGCCGCACAGGCAAGCTAGTACGCACCTAAGGACTTTGCTGGATGTATCAGAACCTAGTTACGGCTAAATGCGGCGGATGATGTCCTTGTGTGAGTTTGTTCTAAGCTCTCAAAGTGTTTATGGACTGATTCAGAGGTTCGTTTCACGTTTGCTGTTATGATTCAGGGCTGTGAAGCTCCTACTCTATTAAGAAACAACAAACAGAATGCCATGGGAAAAACAGGGGGGGAGGGAAAGTTTGTTGGGGTTGGGGTGGGGTGGGGAGGGTACAAGGCCAGCGAAGTCTGGACTGAGGCTGGGGAAGTCTGAAATGCAGGGTGTTAGGAGAGGAATGACGTTGGTGAAGAACTTGGCATCGGGTAGCTCTCCTGTCTCGTGGTGGTGAGTAAGGGTGGTAGTGGGGGCTGGGGCTAGTTGGGCTGGTTGGAATGTACAAACAGCGAGCTTTCTCAATCCTATTTTGTAGGGGAAAAAGTGCCCGGAAGAATGGTTGCTGGCAATTAGAGGCACTCAGAGACATGTGTACTCTGAACTAATAAGGTGTTAAAAAAAAAAGGAACGTCGCTGGGTGAGAATCTGGCTTCAATCACTTCTCCTGTCTTTGGGGGGTTGGAGGTGTAGAGGGGGTAAGTAGGGGTCGGGGAGGGAGAGTTGGATTCAGCAAGGAGGGAGCGTACTCATGCTATCTTGTTGTGGAAAGAAGATCCCGGAACAGTGAGCTACGTGTGTGGTCTACTGGTGCTACATTTGTGCTCAGAAAGAGCACGGTGCTGGTCTGAAAAATGGCCAGGTTCCTGCTTTCTTAGCTTAAACAGAGCATCGGTGCAGCCTTCCCCTTGAGTTTTGCACTCGGATCTGGCATCACACAGTTCTCTTGTGTGTGAACGGAGGGGAATGATTCATATTTGCGAGGAAAACTTTGGGTAGGAACCTCCTCTGGGGTAAAAGAGGGCAGTGAACAGGAAACAAATGGTTGTCGGATCTGGTGGTTGCATGGATTATATTTCTTTTGTGTGTGTGATCACTTTTCTGTGTGCATGGGGTGAAAGAGTATTTTTGCTTTTCTGCTGAAGCTTTGAATTGGGTAGTGGTGTGACAGCAGGGTATTGACGAGGCAAATGATGTCTGCAGTACTATGCACATATGTGATCCTTTTGATTCTTGTTTTGTTGCTGCTGCAAACAGATCTTTGAACCAGGGATAAGGAAACTGCGTGCCGAGGTTGGATCAACTCAATGGGACGCAGGGCGACAGTATCTTTTGCAACCGTTGGGCGGGACAATGACGTATGTGCGGCATGGAAAGCAAGAGAAACGAGAGCCTGGGGACCCATTTCATAGAGTAGCATTGACAGTTGAAGAAGTGTCGTTGACGCCGTCTGAGGTGTGGGATTAACCACAAGTCCTTTTTCTTTGGCCCCTAAATGCGGTAGCCCCTAAAAAGGAGGGGAGCAAAAAGTGGAGAAAGAAAAGCTAGTAGAGAAAAGAAAGAAGAGATGCAGAGAAAAAAATCAGTGTATCAATCTGATTCCACGTGTCATCTTGTTTTGAGTTCCGAGTACACAAGAGATGCAGAGAAAAAAATCAGTGTATCAGTCTGATTCCACGTGTCATCTTGTTTCGAGTTCCAAGTACACCTCTCGTTTTAGTCACAGGGATGTTGTTTTCTGCATGGAAGTGAAATGGTATATGATTGACCTCATTTTGAGGAGGGATAAGGGAGCTTGAATTCTGTGTGATGGTTCCCAAGGATTATTCTTCTGTAATGTGCAGAATTCTTAGGGTGTTTATTTAAAACAATTATGGACATTTTTGAAATAATCAATGTTGAAGTTGAGGAGGGGTCATAAGGTTCCGAGTGAGGGTTGGGGGTCGAGGACGCAAAATGGCTGCTAACTTGTGCTAAGTGTGTTGTCATGGGAATTACTAATGATCTCCTGCTTCGGAAACGTTGGTATTTCCGCATTCAGTGGAAGGATGGGAGTGGAAGTCTAGAAGTTGCTGCCGATGTTGTTCCGGGAATATGAATGCTTTCCTGTTTTGTTATTGTTGTAGTGTGGTGTCTTGGAGTGGTCATTTTTTATTATTATTAATGATTGTAGACCTTAGGTCGAATTCATTTTTGGATTACTTCGCATTTCTTAGGTCTTGCAGGCATGCCACGCTGCATTCCGGATTATCGAGACGCTTATATGCCCTACGGAATGCATCGAGTAGTTTTGGCTCTTATATTTCTGTTCCAGTTTTTTTTTTTTTTTTTTTTTTTTTTTTTTTTTTTTTCACTTTAATGAGGGAAGTACGCGCTCTGCAAGTGCCTTTTTTTTTTTGGGGAAATTTTCTTAGTTGTAGATAGTGATTACATTCCAAGTGGCATGATTGAAGTGGTAGATCGTAAACCTGTCTCTTATACACATCTAGATGTGTATAAGAGACAGGTATAGAGCGCTAGTTCATTGGAGACATTACCTCCTAGGAAGATTCTTCTATGTGAGNTTTTTTTTTTTTTTTTTTTTTTTTGTGCTTGTTTGTCTCACTTTAATGAGTGAAGTACGCGCTCTGCAAGTGCCTTGTCTTTTTGGTGGAAATTTTCTTAGTTGTAGATAGTGATTACATTCCAAGTGGCATGATTGAAGTGGTAGATCGTAAACTTTGTCCTCCTCCACGCTCAAATGGTAAAATATGGGTCAGATTTTTTTCAGATATTCCTATTACCAGCAAACTTACTACGAGCAACCCTACAGGTTGTATTGCTCGTGTTTCCCAACGACAAATTAGTTTTGAAATGGATGGTGTTAGTTTGTCAAATGCTCAAGCAGCTAGTGTGGAAGTTTCTTGAAGAAGGACACAGGAGGAGGGAGTGGTGAAATGGTTTCACCCAGCAGACCCGACATTTGCAGACACAGAGATTCGAATCCCTAGACCTGTGCCCAAACCCTGTACATTGACCCTGTGTGCTGAGTGACATTCGGTCCCTAGACCTACCCTTTACCCTGTACATAGGCCCAGCGATCTGTGTAAGACTCACTCCCTAGGTCTGTAGATTAGGAGTTAGGTCTGTTACCGTTAGGCCTAGGAAAGTCTGTTCTAGAAGTCTCTAGCTGAGTCTACTGAGGCCTAGAGTCTGTTTGTAAGTCTGTAGGCTTTAGAAGGTCGTAGGTCCCTGTAGGCCAGTCCAGTCAGCAAGTACCAGGGTAGGGGCTGCATGTGGGGAAGGTTGGGGACCACGCTGTGGGTTCCACACGTTTGGGCCAGAAGGCCAAACGTCTGGAAGCTTCCCTGGGTCACACGTTTTGGCCCGGGCCCACATGTTTTGAGGCAGGGCCCGGGTACCTCTGAAGAAGTATAAATAAAGAGGCAGCGTCCCGCCATTCATTCATTCGCCTGTGTGCCATGCGGAAGAGCTGCCTTCCTATCTTGTGCGTGGAGGGAGATGAAGGTTTTGGCGAAGAAGATCCACCATAGCCGGAAGGCTGAAGAGTTGATTAGGAGAGTTGACCAACGTTGACCGGGAGTTGACCACGGGTGTTGACCGGGTGTTGACTATGAGTTGACCAAGGGTGTTGATTGAAGTTGACCAGGGGGTTGACCAGGAGCATAGACCGGCGAGTTGACCAAGACCGTTGACCGGAGCGTCGACCCAATTGGAGCGAGAAGATTACCGGTACCATCCCTCCAAGCCTTGGCCTATCCCCTTACCCCGTGGATGTGCACCTTCACCTTGGTACCTGTTGACGTTAAGTCTGTCAAAGTCAGTCAGTCCTATCTACCTGTCACTTATGTCCAGGTCGATACGATTCTGCGTATGTGGTCATAGAATCGTAAGTCTAGCCCGAGTAGTGAATCAAGGCCCCTTGATAGAAGTTAACCTGCTCGGCCTACATGTTGAGGCGTTGTATTGTTGTTGGTTGTGCACCGTCACCATGGTGGACCTCAGGTCTGGAACTAGTACCACCCCCTACAACAAGGAGCGATAGGAGAGAGCTGCCGCTATCCTGCGAGAAAGGAAGGAGAGAATGGAGAAGAGGGAACTGATTAAGCAGGCCAAGATGTAGGCCCTGCTGGAGGAGCAAGAGGCAAAGAAGCAGCACATCGAGGAGGAGCTGAAGGAGCAGGAGGAAAAGATGGTGGCTATACAAGAGGAGGTGGAGAAAGAAGAAGAAGTAGAGGAAGAAGAGCCATTGGAGAGGAGAGGGGAAGCTAGCACAAGCAAAGAAATTGAGATTGCGAGGATTGCACAAAAGTGGCTGCACATTTGAAGATGGGGGAAGAGATAGGGAGGCCGAGATGGCCATACCCAAGGGAGAGAGAGAAGCAACAAGGAGGCAGATTGAGACAGAAAGGGGCCTGGTGAAGAGAAGGGTGAAGGAGGAAGAACAGCAAATGGCATGGAGATACCGGCTGTCCCAAGAGAGGGTGAAAGGATTGGAAGCGGCGGAAAGGGCAAAAAAGGATCTGAAAGCAGCGGAGACCGGGATGGGGAAAATCAGGGAAGAGACGGAGGTAGCCACTAAGCTCAATACCCTGACTGTAGAATCTTTACTAATCGCACACCACGAACAAGCGCAATATATCCACAGCCTAGAAGTAAAGATAGATGCAATGCGCGCTGGGTTCAAAGATTTTGCGAGTGGCATGATGAAATACTTATTGGCCGAAGTCCATAATGCAATTAGTAAGACCCGAGAGTTCTGCACTGATGGCACCAAGTTGGCGACTCTAAGGAAGAGGAGCCGGCCCCACCACATTGTGAGAAAGTCAAGGTTCGTTTTCCCGAACCCTTCTGTGGAAAGAAGGGTGATGATTTCGATAACTGGGAGGCCAACGTGGACTCCTATTTGTAAGGATTCACGCGTGAGGACCACTTTTTGGTGACCTTCCAGGCCCTTCGAGACGAGGCGACTAGTTTTGCTAGGTCACTAGCCCGCGCTGCGAACTTTGATAACTATATGGTTGAGTATTCGAGACTGACACCTCTCTCTGAGTTCTTGAAATCGCTCAGGGAGCGATTCTCAGAAGTGACGCGGGGGCTCAAAGCCTCTAACAAACTCCAAATGATACACACTCGCTCGTGGAAGAGTGTGCACGCCCTCAAGTCCGCCGTGGATGAACTGATTGCGGTCCCTGGGCATGGAGTAACCGATGCCCAGCTTCTTAACGTCTTCTATCGTGCCCTCCCTGACAACATTCAGGGACATTTCTTTGAGAAGAAGAACCAGCAGGGCATGACTTACGATACTCTTAGTCGGGAGGCAGTTGCATTTGCCGCCCAAGCATCGCCAGTTACCACGTTCTGGCACAAAGACCTGTCAAAAGGAAAATGTGGAAGGGACACACCATCTCTGGCCAAATTAAGGCCAAAGATAGTCTGATACTAACAATGGAGGAAGGTGGTGCCGACGAGGTTCCCTACTCTTAACATCGAGTGGGGGCGAGAGGAGGAGAGCAACGGTGCAGGCCGGGGGAGAACCTACGCTGCTGTCGCGGCCAGAGGGAGGCTGCAAGGAGGAGGACAACGGTCCGCCCAGAATGGCCGGGCCCCTGGTGGCCGAGGACAGGGCGGCCAGGGGGTTGGCAGCAACTGGCAGCAACGGCAACCGCCAAGAGGGAGGAAGGGGAGGTCCCCCGTCTCACCGTTTGCATTTTAGTCGGTCACCCCCCAGACAGGGAAGGTGGCATCCATTGCCTGAAGACCGACCCTGGTTAGATCTGCGTATAGATCAAAAAGTATGGCAAGAACGCATTAACAGTTCTCAATGCGCATTCTGCGGAAACCTAGGCCATATTATCAAATTTTGTCCCAAGTATAAGGACCGTGCTACGTTTGGGGCAGCAGAAGACAGGCGTCGGCAGGAGTCGCAACTGCCCCTACCCAGGAGTATGTGGATCTGAGCGTGCGCGCAAAATTGAGTCTCCCACACCACATATCTCCATGGCAGAGGTTGCAGGCCAGTGTCTCGTAAGCCGTCTAGAAACTGCTTGTGTTAGGGTCTCTCTAGATGCTTCCCTTACAGGCTTAGCCGAGGAGTTAAGAGAGAGGAGGCAAGCTTGGGCCAAGATGAAGAAGGATAGTAAAGGACAACTTATCCTCGCAGATGTAGAATTTTTAGGGCTAGAGTAGGTGACCTGATAGACAGTGGGGAGATTAGGAGCTATATCAGTCGTAAAGCGCTGAAAAAGTTGAAGCTTAATTTGAAAGTCCAACGCTTAAAAGAACCTGTAGTCAGCATCCTTGCAGACAATAGCAGGATGCACATTGAAGTGTATGTTGAGGGGGTCCATTCCTACTTTCGCCTAGAGAAAGATGGGAAGGTAGAGAAGGTATTGCACTCCTTGACCCTCCTCGTAGAAGAGAGTCTCCCGTTTGACATTGTTCTAGGTAAGCAT